CCTCATTTACTGCTCCCCCTCTTAAGTCAGCGTTTAGGAGGATTTCGCTCCAAAACGTCTGCGTTTAGAGGAATAAGTGACAGCAGAGTTGCAAAGATAAATCCCGCATGCTGCTCAGCCAATCAGCATCAGGCAAGCAAGTCGTGATGAAGGTCAAACTAGGGTTTACAAGCCAGTATAATAATATCAACCTATTAAACGCTGATGCTAGCAATCTATTCACTGTCTGTTGTACATATTTTGGAGGATAACAATGTTGTAGTTTTATAATTTATTTTACACAAATGTATTCACCGCGTCTTCCACAAAAAACAATACGCATTTGTCCCTGAAAGTCTCACAATTATGACAGGATTCATCATCAGAAATGACACAACTTCACCCACTTTTGAGAGTAGACCTCATTTAAAGCTGTTGAATTGTTTTTCAATTCATTACATTTCCACATATGTATGTATATATATGTGTGTGTGTTTGTGTACGTGTACTATTTCGTGTCTTGTGTTTCTTGCATATGAATGCGAGCCGTGTTTCTCTCCTCTCTGCCCGGTGGCTTCATTTCACCGTATTAATAACAACGTATCTCCTGCATCATAAAATATCTATGAATCCTGTCTATTTTGTCAGCCGTGGGTAAACAGAAGATCGATGACTGTAACCGGATCGTTCTTGGCCATGGATCCACTCCCGCAGACACATTCTCAAATTTGGAGGCAGAACGCAAATCGGGGAATAGTCTTTTTTTTTTCTCCTCCCCGTGTCGTTCCTCCCCGCTGCACGCTGTCTTACAGGCTGTTCGTCTGTTTTTTTGTTTTGTTTTTTTGTGTGAGAAAAGTTGCCCGGAAGCCCAAACCGAATTATGCAAAAAAAAACAAAAAAAAAACATCTGGAGTCCGCCGTGGGGAGCGAGGCCACGGGGCCTCTGCTCTCAGGGCCCCGACGACCCGCACGGGCAACCCGGGCAAGTCTTGAGACGGAGCATCGTCTGCGGGGAGCAGCCAGACGTCAGTAAAGAACACATGGAGATGAACAGCTGCAACGTGCAGTTACGGGAGGTCGCGTTAAGTTAACATTACCTGAGTGCATTTTAGAAATGCAGATTTGGTGCCTTTGATTGTGTTTTCACAGACTCTCCTGTCGTTAACAGCTTTAATCTCATATGTTAATATCGCGCTATATTATCATTACGGGGTTCTCTGGTGCTCAATGATAGTAAAACCAACGCTACCCGTGTGACGGTCCTCCCGGGACTTAAACATGCTTGTGTGGTATTTAATCATGACACGGTGTCTCTGACATGCAGATGCTGCGCGCTGCAGACTGCGGCGCCTCTGTGGCACCTTTTTATTCGGAGTTCCCGGTGACTTTATCGCGCTTCTCGCTCCGCGTTCGAAACCCACGGATGTCTCGCTCCAATAGGACTTGTCCCCCGATGGTTCTCACGCGTGCACGCGGTGCAATTAGTCCTCTTTGGTGGGCGTCGCGTCGCCCCACGAGCAGCCCTGCGGGTCACAAGCTGCGAGCGGACGGGCCTGTTGTTGCTCCCAGCGGCAGCTCTGGCTAAATGATCCCGCATTAGGAGGCTATTTCGGGCCATCTGTGGGCTGAACTAATGGACCAGGCACATGCGAGCGCGTTCAGAGGCCTCCTGACGTGCAGGAGGAATAAAGGTTGCCGGGTTAATAAAGCTCAACAGAAGGATGAGAAATATCCGTTCTGCATTCTGATGTTTTTGCACACGGATGTGCACATCTGGGTTCCCCCACGAAATCATTATTATTAAGAGTGAAAACTACTATGAGAAAGGATGTAAGGTCTGGGTATTAAGCCAACATCAAATGAAGACTCGGTAAAATGAAATTATCTTTCGTGGCCCTCGAATGTGGCCCGCGATTGTGTTCATGGTACATTAAAAGACAACGTTGAGTTAAATTATATTTCACTGCAGCATTAAATAGCTTTAGAAAATATCCTAATAATCCTGTCATTAATGCCACAATCCCATATAAAAAGTGCACATTTGAAAATTAAATACATCTACTTATAGTGTATGGAGCTTTAATGTCCTATAAAGTCTAAATCTCACGAGATAAAAACGCAATTGTGATGAAAAACGCAAAATGTAGATCAAGATTTTTCTTTTTTTTTTATATAGGATATTAATTATTTTCGACACAAGAAGAATAAATCGTCACATTGCTTCGAACAGCGTGCAAAGGACCGTTTAATCCTAAAGGGTCTCACAACTGAACCACATCGGACTATTTCGTATTAAAAAGAGAGGACATCGTATTCACATTAAAAAAATAATAATTAAAGAACGGAAACAAAATGATCTGACTTTTTATTCCTCTTCCTGAAATGGAAAAAAAAGAGAAATAAGTGATAATACTAAATCTGCTGCCTCTGTAATACAATTTAGCATGAGCATAAAAAATGCTGCCGCGTAGGACATGTTTCCCTTAATAATAAAACCAACTATACTTAATAACACTTCCCGGTGACAGCGCCTCCCTTCCCCACTGCGGATATTACCTTTGTAGCAATCTAATAAATATATCCGTGAAGGATTCTAAAGGGGATATTGAAATATAACATGAGCATGTATTGCTATATATTACACTGCGCGGGACAAAAAGCAGGGACACTGTCTTTTGTCACACCGAGAATCATGGCGGCGTGAAATCACGAGCAAATCAAATCGGATTTGTTTTTATTGGCGCTCCGTGGAGTGTAATGTGCCTCTTTCTGTTTATTGTCAGGAAGCCTTAATAGTCCACTTTATTTTTTATTCTTTCCATTTTTATTATTACGGTGCTCGTTGCTTTTTATATAATTATTGTATTAGTTTTTGGCCCTGTTGATTATTTGCATCAAATTAAATTTCATACACATAGGTGTAAAATACAAACTATAAATAATTTATTTATTATATTATATTGTTAAACAGACTGGACCACTGCTTTTATTTATATTTTAAGTATTAAAGAGCC